CTGGACCGCGTTCTGGGCGGTGCCCCAGGCCAGCCACTATATAGAGCAAGTCACAGCATCTCGAGCTGGTTTCCTCTGCAAAACGGAACCCATCGTGGTGTTTGTCTCTGCATATGAATGAAAGCGTCAGGGCAAGCCCTCAATGAACGCAGCACCTATAGCTGACTGTCACCTGAGGGTGGGTCCCCTGGGCTCGGACCCTCCCAGGGGTCCCACTCCCCCCTTTCCACAGCACTTTAGCTGGGTGACGGAGACCCTTCCAAACCTGGGCCACTCCGACCTGCAGGGGCAGAGCCACTGCTCCCCACTGAGCATCCTGCCCCCACCCCTGCCCCCCCGTAGTTGCCCTCACCCCACCCACCCGGCTGACCTCCCCAGCAGGAGGCTTTGCCTTCTTATGTCCCCTGGCCAGACCCCGGCCCCATGTCTGGGCACCTCAGAGCGCCGTGCCCTGACACCTTGTCAGAGGGCCCCAGAGTGCCTTCTGGCTGTCTCCGATCCCTCATCTCCTTTTTCTCCTTGGCCTTATGTCCTGTCCCCTCTCTGGTCTGTGAGTGTCTGGTCCACCTCGGTGTGTGTCACACCACAGCGTCACCTGGAGATGGAGGGAGGGGGGCCTGGACCATGTGGTGTTCACTTCCTCGTCGCCCCCTCCCCTTTGACCCTCGACCGCTGATTCCCGGGAGGCACCGCAGAGGGACGGTGGCGTTTGCGGGGTGCCAGGGTCCAGGGCACCGTCCTGCAGCTCAGAACGTCTTGGATGAAGCCAGCCATTCAGCTGAATTGGCAACAGACAGCCAGGAACAAAAGCCAAGTGGCTTCTGCGTCAGCCTTTAAAACCACCAAAATGATCTCACTTGTCATGCTGTGGTCCAAATATTTTGCCCACTTAGACGAAACCTTCTGTGCTTGTGAAATTAAGTGTATTATTAATCTCACCTGGCCCGGTGACAAGGTGGGCAGATCAGATAAATAGCCCCGTAGCTGATCGAGTGAGTGAGAGCGTATCCTTATCGGTACAAAGTAGACGCGGGTGTTTCCGGCTCCACGCCGATGGAGGAGAGGCTGCCCGGAGATGGGGGTGGCAGGATGGTGGGGGCTGGGAGTCCCCCACAACGAGGAGGCTGGGGGGAGCAGTCGTGCATGGAGAGGAGACAAGACCACTGGCTTCCAGGGCCCATGAGGCTGTCACAGGGGTCCACAGGGAGGTGGGGGCGGGCTGGGTCTTTGAGCTGAGCCAGGGTTGGCTACAGCAGAGTCAGATTTCAGATGCATTCAGACAGGCTTTTGTTAACCCTATTTTCTTCCCCGATTCTAAATGTGATAAAGGCTCATTACAGAGGAACGAAGAAAATTATAAAGGAGGATGTGCAAAGCTCCTGGCTCCATTGCTAGAACTCCCCACCAGTAACAAACGGGAGGAGGGGCTTCTTTCCTGAGTTCTGTGGATGCGTTTATAATTGGAATTTTTTTCCCACTCGGCAGTGTATTGTTTTTAGCACACGCGTGTGTTCCATCGGAGCTGATCCTTTATTGCTGTTGTTTTTGTGTTTTGTCTGAGCTGCGCGGCATGTGGGATCTTAGCTCCCCGATGGAACCCGCGCCCCCTGCCTTGGAAGCGCAGAGTCTTAACCACTGGACCTCCGGGGAAGTCCCCGATCCCTTATTATTGAACAGACAGACGATTGTCGGGGCCCCTTGAGGCTGTTTCCCACCTTCCCAGCTGCCGCCAGGCCTCGTCTTCCTCGCTGAATCTCCCACTGTGTCCGTTTCCTTAGGACGCAGAGCAGCAGCCGGCTTAGATTCGGGCGTGGCTCTCTCTCTGCTCCCGGTGAGGCCGCGACCGGGTCATCCCCAGGACGGAGCTCTGGCATCACACACCAGTGGGGTGAGGGGCAGCAGGCTTCTGTTGCAGAGGACGAAACTGAGGTTGGGGAGAGGACGGCCAGCAGACAGGCTGAACCGACCGGGGCACCTCCCTGAGTCTGAACCCTAGGAAGTGACACCGGTCAGGCTATCAGGGTGACAGTGTCCCGGTCGGCTAATGTTTCTCTGAACCTGGTGAGCCGAGAGGGCCAGCGGCTGGACTGCCGTGTGCCAGGAGTTCACGGGGCCAGCCTGGCCGGCCAGCTCCTCAGGACAGCCTGACACAGGCGAGGGTGGTGCTGTGTGGGGACCGCAGCTTCCGCAGGTGTTCTGCCTCACCCTCCCTGCCCAGGGGTGATAGGAGTGCAGCTGGCAAAGGCGAGAGCTCACCTCTGCTGGTGTCCCTGTGCCCTCCCAGCCAGCCCTGAGCAGCCCCAAGGGCCTGCTGGGAGTTCCCCTGGGCCTTCCCAAGCGCATGCTTCTTAAGATCTGAGACCCAGGGGCCAGAGCAGCAGAGCACTGCTCGAGGGGCGGAGCCCTTAACCAGCTCAGCTCCAAGGGCCGGAGCCACGGCCGTCTCCCCAGCCGTGGGCGTGGTGTGGGCAGACTCACCTGAAATGGGCCTGTCCTCACCCAGAGGCACGGTGCCCTGCAATTTCAGGGACCCGCATCTAAATGCTAGGACGATCTGGAAATTTCTGGCCATGAGGCTTAAACCGGGTGATGCTGGGACCTGGCCTGGGTGAGCTCGACTGGACTCTGGGTGGAGTGCCTTGGGGGGTGATGGGTGTGAGATGCACCCTGACAGTGACCACGGAGGCTGGGCCCAGCCGGGCTTGATGACCCAGTCACCCAAGCGGTTTCCTGCCTGCTAGCTCAGGCCAGGCCCAGGAGGGGCTTCGTGACTTGATCTCATTCGGTCCACCCTGGGCGCCACAGGATCAGCCCCGTCACCCCCCCTTAGTGGGGCTTCCCTCCTGATTCGGGGGTCGGGCTGGCCCCTCAGAGGTGGGGGACTAGTGGGCAGGCTCCGGAGCCCCAGTTGGCCTCGACCAGGACGTGGCCCTGCCCCTTCTCACCCCTGCCCCCCTCCCTGGGGCCTGGGAGGAAGCGGCCTTGCTGCTATGCCCACCTGAAGACACTGGATCCCGGCAGCCGTCCAGGCCATGCGTGGGACCCCTGACCGCCTGGTTTTCATCCCCCATCCTGTGTCGCCATCACCCCGGGGAAGGTGGGAGCCCTGTTGCTCACATCCCTGGAAGAGATGAGGACGGAGTGACCAGAGAGGGGGCAAGGGGAGGGCAGCCCACTGCACACAGGGTCCGGGGCTCTAGGGTGAGGCCAGGAGGACCCCCGGGTTGCAGAAGCAGACGACGACGAAGCAGAAACCCCTGTCCTGGGAACGTACTGGTGGAGGTGCCTGGTGGGTGCCCACACGTGGCTAGTACCACCTGGAAGCAGGAGATGGGGAACGTGGATGGCAGGGGCCCAGGAGGAGTGGGCTTCCCTGAGGCGGTGATGGAGGACCGCGCCTGTGGCCGGGGAAACGCCTTCATCAGCGCCGCTCCGGCCCGGGGCTCACCTTTCCTGTCCGTCCGTCTTGCCTGTGAGGGTGACGTCCCCCTTCCTGGGCCAGCTGCAGGCAGGTGGGTCTGGGCTCTCGCCCTGGGCAACATTTCCAGAACAGCCCCTCTTTTTCAGGACAGCTCAGAAGCGGCTCCTCTGGGGAGCAGGGACCCCAGTTAGCGGGAGAAACAAAGGCCAATAGTCATCATCGGCCTGGGGGTGGGGCTCCTCCAAGGGGAGCTCTGGGGCCTGGGGGCAGGTGGGTGGGACCAGGTGGGGTGGGGCGTGGTGTGGGTAACGGTGGAGGGGGGTTAAACAACCCCCTGGAGATTCTCTCAGAGCTAAGTCTTTGGGTTCTTCCCAAAGCAAACCCTCAAAGCCTTGCTCAGGGTACATGCCCGACCCAGGGGCCGGAGACTCATTGCACTGATGGGTAAACCGAGGCCCTGGGAGGGAAAGGTGGTTTTTCTAAGTGCAGAAGGACGGAGATGTAAACAGGGATCCTGAGGGCCCACCCCCAGGCTGGCAGAGGAGCCACTGCCGCCATGGTAGGAGCCTGGCCCCTGAAAACGGCATATCCTCCTTCCTCCCTGCCCGCCCTCCCTCCGTGAATAGTTTGAGCTCCCACGATGTCCCGGGTCGGGAAACAGAGAGCCGGTAGTCCCATCCCCAGGTCCCCAGCCTCGGCGAGCTTGCAGGCCGGTGGGAATGGCAAGGAATGGGACGTCACGGAGGGATAGAGAGGGTGCGGGCTGTCGTGGGGCACAGAGACGGCCCAGCCTGGCTCGGGGGCGTGTGTCGGGGGCGGTCGGCCGCCTGCCTACAGGGGCCGCTTTGGGGCTGCACCTTCCAGTGGAATGCAGAGTGGCCGGTGTGGTCGACGATGGTCAGAGCTGCAGTCTGCCTGGGATGGGGGCGGTCTGTGGGCAGGCCGGGCACTTGCAGGAGGGAGATGCCTCGGCGGTGGGCGGGCCTGGCTGGTTTTCTTAGGAGCTTGGATTTTATCCCGAGGGGAATGGGGAGCAGGAAAGGGTCTCTAAACTGGGAGTGACCTGATGGGGCGGGGGGACGGGGGCGGCGCCAGGGCTCTGCTCTACGCTGGGTGGACGGAGGCTGAGGACAGGCCCATCAGGCAGGGGTCTCCGGCCAGCGAGGGTGGGGCCTGGGCCTTCTGGGGCCTCCTCTGCAGGGGTGGCAGCTTCATCGGACCCTGAGCTGCAGCCTGGAGTCAGGCCAGGCCCTCCTGGGACGCTGCTGGCCGAGTGCTGCAGAACAGCGTGTGCCGGGCAGTCTTTGCCCCAGGGGTGGCGGTCTGGGGGTGGCGGACCCACGTTTTCAGGGAAGGTTTCTCTCGATGCAAGCACAAGGAGCGCGGGGCAAACTCCTCCGCTACTTTCCCATTCCTCAACGCGCAAGGACTCCTCTTCACGGCCGCTATCAAGATCCGCTCGCATCTCCCTGTTGCCGCAGTGGCCGCAGGTACAACATTTAAACCACGTTGGTGGATGACAGAGACGTACCTGTTGCCGCAGTGGCCGCATGTACAATATTTAAACCACATCAGTGGATGACAGAGACGGAGGACATTTTTAATCCCAACAGGCTATGAGGGTTCATATCATGTCTGCCAAATAAATATTCTGAATCATGTCCCGTTATCTTTTTGGGGGCAAGTTGACTACAGCAGTGAGATTGCGCACAGCGGCTCTGCCCTGTTTATCCACCTCTCGTGCACACGTATGTACACAGAGAGAGATTTATGTAGCAGTTGTCGATAATAAATGCTCCCGGTAAAACACATTATCTTCTTGCGGTGTCTGGAGAGGGGCATGATGGAGGGGAGCCAGGGAGGGGCAGGCCATCTTCAGAGCCAGGCCCAGGATGGAATCGGCACCCCAGGCTGGGACTCTTGGCCTGAGCCCTTCTCCTGAGCTGCTGGTATAGGTCAACGTTGATGTCCCTGTTGATGTTCTCATTTGATATAAAAAAGGCTCCATGATTAGCTCGCTGTTTTCTTCCATTTCTTAGAAGAAGAGACTGAGGTTCAGAGAGGGCCATGTGAGAACTGGTGGCTGAGCCAGGGGAGGCTTCCTCCTCCTGGTACCCACCCTAGCACCCAGTTTTCCAAGTCGGCTGCCTGGCCCTTCTCTCTGGACTCTGGTCTCACCATCCACACACCAGTGAGAAGCAGGGAGGTGGGGCAGTTCACTGTGAAGGCAAGAGGCTGAGGTGGGTGGTCGTCCTAAGGGGGTCTGACCATCAACCTCTATTGTGAATCTGTTGACTTCAGTGCTGGAGCCGCTGCATGACCTGGAGCCAGTCACTGCTCCCCTCTGGCTCAGTAACATCATCTGTGAAATGGGGAAGCAGGAATCTGTCTGCAGGGCTGGGGTGGAGTTGGTGGAGAGGGTGGAGAGTCCCCAGGAAACACCAGTGTCTTCCTCTGCTGGCTTGGAACCCTCTGGACCACCTGGCACACTCTAACCCCCCGAGCTGCCTCCCACTCCTCCTTTCCCCCCTCCCCCGTCATCTGTGACTCCTTCCAAGTGGCCTTGGGGTTTGGAGGGAGCATCTTGTTGGAGGCCTCTGGAAGGATCCCACCAGCTCTTGCCTGGAGCTGCCCTGAAATCCCGGTCTTTGTTCATGCAGCAGCCCCTATCCCCTTAGGCCTGTCTCACATGAACGGCTTTGCCCAAACTGCCTTTCAGCTCCCAGAGGTTTGGAGAGAGGCTCGCACACGATGGAGGGAAGCTGGCTGCCTTCAGTGCATCTCATTGAATCAGAGCCTAACCTTTCTCTGGCCTCCTCTGGTCTGGGTGTGTGGGGCTGGCTGTCCTTCAGGGCTGGCAACTGCCCGTTGATGGGAGCAGGCATTTCACAGAAGGCATCCTCTCCTCCACTGCGTTTCCACCTCCCCCCCGCCCCAATCCCTTCTCTTCTCCCTACTAAGCAGGACAGACTAGAGGCTGAGGGTGGACACGTAGCTTTCCCGCGCTCCCCCACACGATGGAGAGACAGGGCAGGACTCAGGGCAGCTCCATCTGTCTCGCCATGTGAGCTCAGGTGAGCCCTTGCCTCTCTGGGCTTCATCCCCACCTCCTAGCTTGAGTCATCTGTCACCAGGGATAGAGACTGTCGCCCCCAAAGGAGCCACAGAGATGGTGAGAAAGTGTCCTCCAGGCTGGGGGACTTTGGGACAGGCTGGAGGGCCTAAGCCCCTGCCCTGCCTGATGGGGGCCAAAGGCCCCAACCCCCGGCGAGATCCTGCCGGTTGCCAGTTTGGGATCACACGGACCCTCCCTTGGGTGAAGGAACCGGAAGCAGCTGAGGTGCCCCTTGGTGCCCCAGCAACTGCTGGGAGCCGCCCACCCAGACGCCAGCCTTGGGGGCTCCAGCCTGGCAGACACCGGCCTTTAAAAATATTATTCACCAAGTGATTCCAGAGACGTTTACAAGACTGAGCTGAGACAGGCGCATGGACAAAACCAAAGTACCTTAAAAAGCATCCTCCGGGAGGGGATAAAAAGCCCCAAACAAAAAACAAAACCCTCTCAGATCCCAGGTTGTAAATAGATGGATATTACTATAAAAATAGTTTTGGCTGCAGGAGCACATGGCAGGAAGGCTGGGGGTGGTTTTTTCCATGGTTAGCTCGGACCTGGCGACTCCAAATGGGGCAGCCACCGTCCCGGGCGGTGTCCTGTGGGATCGTTTGCACCAAGGCGCCCCAGCTCGAGGGGGGAGTGCGAAATAGAAATAACAAGCAGCACACACATTTTCCGTCAGGGAGCCCGGGTGTTTGCCCCCCTCCGCAGCCGGCTCCCCTCCCCATTCCGAGCCAGCCGGCTCCTGGAACACCCCTGCCCCCTGCCACTCCCGAACCCCTGCAGATGGGAAGGGGAGGCCGAGAGCAGCTCGACATCCGTAGGCGCTGAGGATGGGTTGGAGCCAGGTCTGCGTGGCTCTGGACCCCATGCTCCCTTCACTGTCCATGCTGCCTCCTGGAGCTCTGGGCGAGGCGGGGGCTGGGGGACACCTTCGTAGGTCTCTCTTAGGAACAGAGGCCCCTCTTGCAGCCTCGGCAATCTGGGTGCCTGTGCCTTGCCCGGCGTGAGGAACCCATATGGAAGTTTGCCTGTGTGTGTCTCCCTGGCTCCAAGTGCCAACAGTTCCAAAGGGAGTCTCGAGTTTTCCAGGGCAAGGGGGAAGGGGCTGGGGGAGGGTGGATGTGTCTTATTTCCCCCCTGGGCCGGGGCTGCCAGAGGGCCTAATTCACCGTCTTATAATAATAGTGATAACAGTAGTGGCAGTAACTATCACGAACCTCCTCGGGCCCAGACTCTTCCAGCATTACCTTGTTTAGTCATCTCCATGACTCAGCAGGAGGGGGTGGCCATGCCCACTTTACCGATAAGGAGACTGAGGCACAGGGAAGGGAGTGACCTGGCCAGGCCACACGTATGGTAAGAGGCAGAGCTGGGATCGGCCCTTGCCTGTTCATCTGGGACCACACCTCCACACGAGTTCCCTGAGCACAGGGTCTGGCCCCTTGGTAAAGGCTTAAGTGATGTTTGTTGAACGAATGACTGATCCACAGCGATGGAAGCACACCCCCGACCCGTCCTCATCCAGCAGAGCACGGATGGGCTGTCCACACAGGATGTGACAGGAAGGCAGTGCTGCACCGCAGGTCACTGGGGGGCCCGGGGGGCCTGTGCAGGCTCACACCCTCAGCGGCCCAGAGGTTCCAAGGACAGGCCTTGGGTTCAAACGCTGGCTTCGTCCTCACTGCAGCGTGACCTGTTCCGTCGTGTCACCTCTCCCAGCCTCGCTGTCCTCATCAGTTGGGTGGGCTGGCAGTGCCCCCTGCCCACAGGTTACTGGAGCTCTCCTCCTTGTGCCCAGTGGGGCCCCCGAGTGGCGAGGGCATCTGGCCTCTTCTTCTCCGGCAGGAGTGGCGAGGTCTGATGCGGGACAGGACAGTCTGGGAGGATGGGGTTCAGACGGGCCACTGATGCTGTATGTGGCTAGGGCCACGCCAGAGGTGACGGAGACAGGCCTGAGAACTGGGGCTGGCACACGGCACACACCCCAGACGTGTCAGCACCCGTTTGCTCCTTCTCATCCTTTCCCTGGGTGCTTGCCTGCCCCCAGCCCTGGCAGGAGGAAATCAGTTGTAGAAGCGGGTGGCTGTGCTGGGGGAAAGGGGGAGCGCGTCTGTTGTGATGACAGCAGATGAGGACCACACTTACACAGGCTGATGCTGGAGGGAGGGCAGATGGGTCGGCGGCCCAGGAGCCAGCAAAGACAGAGCTTTCTCCATGAGGGGTTGGGGCACGGATCAAGCAGAAGCCAGGGGACGACAGGACAAGCCTGGGCTGTGGCCGGTGCCGGGGGAGGGAGGGCTCCCCAACCAGCACTCGTCCCACAGCGCCCCGCCTCAGGATGCTCCAGGTGACCCAAGGGCCTCCCTCCTGGAAGGGTCTCAATGGCCTTGGCGGGATCCAGCTCCTGGCTGTCCAGTAGGAGGTGGGCCCGCTGCTCCCCCATTCCACAGAGGGGAAACTAAAGCCCAGAAGGGTGGTGAGGCTGGCTTGAGGTCACACAGGTGACAGTGGTGCACCCCGCAGTAGGACCCCCTCTCTTGTGAAGGGCAGTGGTTGTCCCTGGGCAGCAGTGACGGCCATCCACAGTCATCACCTCCCTATCAGTGCCCCCTGGCCCGGGGGCCACCACGTGCAGCCTGTGTGACCTTGGTAAGCCCCTCTGCCCCCACCCCCACCGCAACGAGCCTGGGTCACCATCGGGAATATGGGTCTAGCAGGGGTCTGTGAGGAGGGCGGCTCAGCGCTGGGCGGCCGGACACGGCGACGGCACGGCAGCGCCTGGCCTGCGCCTGCTCAGGAGGCTCGGCTCCGCGCAGGTAACTCATACCGAAGCCCCAACTCCAGCAGCCCGAGCGGTCGGGACAGGCGTCCTTCCTTTCGCTTTTAAACAAACAAGTCATGAATTTAAAAGCCAGGGCAGAGAACTGTCCAAGGCGTAAAAATAGCCACCGGTCACTATGTCAGCACCCAACTCGCGGCAGCTGGTCCCCAGCCTGCTGCCTTTAAAGAGGGCTCCCAGAAGCCAGGGCCACAGTGCAGCAGAAGCGGGAGCCTCTCCTTCCCGGGGGGCCAGGGGAGGGTCCGTGGGGGCGGGGCCGGGGTGCCCTTCGATCTCTGCTTGCCCTGAGTGTGAAAGTCGGGGGCGGACTGGGGGCTCCAGAAAATAAAACACTCCCCAGATGACGGAGCCGAGCCTGTGCTCCCGCGTCGGGGCTCACGGCCACTCAGGGCCTCAGTTTCCCCACGTGCCGGCCAGGGTCGGCGCGCAGCGCGGCCGGCCGCTTTGTGCGGCCGCCCAGACAATGGCCCGGCCGTGCCGGTCGCTCCAGCCAGGCTCTCCGCCTGCTCCGCCGGGTGGTTTTTTTGGGGCAGGCCGGGGAGGGAATACTGCTCCCGCCCCGCCCCCCCCCCCCCGCCGTCCCCCCCGCCCCTGCGCCCCCGCCGCCCCCGCGCGGCTCCGGGGAACCCCTGGTGGAGGGAAACTTGCAAGTTTGCACCGCTCGCTCGCTCGCTCGCAACTCGGCGACTGGGCGGGCTGCGCGCGGGGGGCGGGGGGCGCGCTCCGGGCTGACGAGGTGGGGGCGCGGAGGGGGCAGTCCGCTCCGGCCGGGCGGGGGGAC